ATATTAGTCTCAGATGTAGAATTTAGGATTCATCACTTAACATACAAAACCTAGTGCTCATCACAAGTGCCCTCCTTAATATCCATCACCCGCCCCCCCACCTGAAGTCAGAAAATCTTTAAAAACAAAGAACTTTTTCCTTGCTAGGTGATCTGTTTATTTGGTTTGTTTCTTTCTCTCCTAGTTAGGAGGATACTTGGTTAACAAGAAATAGAATCCTTTCCTTTCTTCTTCTGTCCCCCAGCTGCTATTCTTTATTCCACTTTGACTACTTCTGCACTATTGCCAAACATGTCAAGAGCCATTAAACATGTCTGGAGAGCCATTAAAGAAGGATCCCCAGCAAAGGACTGTCATGGCTTTATTTCCTGTCAGTTATGTTGAAAGTGGCTGCACCAGAACAGCATGGTTGATTTTACTCTCCCAATCAGCACACCACCTGGACTCTTCTCTTGTTTAGAGGAGGAAAAAACAGAAATTTTCTTTCTTTCTTTCTCTCCTTTCTTTTTTTCCTTCTTTCCTTCCTTCCTTATTTTTTTTACATAGAAAATACATTAATGATTTAAAAATAGAAATAAGATGAATACATGAAATAAAAAGCCATACAGAATACATACATACAGCTGAACAAAATTCTGTTTCAAGATAGCTCCAAGCCTGCCTCTACTCATGGTAGATGAGTAAAGGTTACCAGCCCAACTGAAAAAAATGCATGGACAGGAAGTTATCATTGAAACTGAATGGTGGCAGGCATGTTCAAGGAGTATTGCTGGGATTTGGTCCTTTTATGAATCTGGCATAGGTGAATGTGTGGAGATGGGTGCTAGTGGCCAATAGACAACAATATTGGAATGGTGGTAATTGGATAAAATAGTATCATGTTAAAAGCCTTGAACAAGGATAACTAATGGTTATGTTCAGCAGAGACATCAGTTGCTTACATATGTCCCCTTTCTGGAGGGTCTGTTTGATGATGGTGTAAAACTCAGTCACATACATTCTTCGTATTAATCTTTTTTCTTCTGTTAAAAAAAAAATACCCTAAAAAGTAACTATGCCTCTATTCACCTTGTCCCCACTCCACTCTCTATATGGTAAAATCATTTTTATTACTTTTTGTGTATTCTTACAGTGTTTCTTTATGGAAATATAAGTGAATATATATATTCTTATTTCCCCCCTTTCTTACATAAACGCATATTCACTGTTCTGTGCCTTGCTTTTTAAATTAACAATATACTCTGGAGATCTTTCCCTATCAGTACACAGAGCACCTCATTTTGTGTTTGTTTTTGTTTATAGCTGCATAGATATATACCAGAGTTTATTTAACCAATCTTCTTTGGATAGACATTTGGGTTGTTTCTATTCTAAACAATGTTTAGAATAGAATGTTTTACTATTAAAAACAGTGCTTGCGGCACCTGGGTGGTTCAGTCGTTAAGCATCTGCCTTCAGCTCAGGTCATGATCCCCAGGTCCTGGGATCAAGCCCCACATCGGGCTCCCTGCTCAGTGAGAGGCCTGCTTCTCCTTCTCCCACTCCCCCTGCTTGTGTTCCTGCTCTCACTATCTCTCTCTGTCAAATAAATAAATAAAGTCTTTAAAAAAAATTAAAATAAAAAAACTGCTTAATGAATAATCAAACACATAGATACATGTACATATATATCGTGGAATACATTCCCAGATATAAGATTGCTGAATCAAAGGATAAATGCATTTATAATAATGATAAAATTGACAAATTATCTTCTGTAGAAGTTGTACCATTTTGCATTTCTACCAGCAAGATAAGAATATCAGAAGAGGGCTTTTCTGATTGAGTTCCTACTATTAAAAAATTACATTCTATGATACTTTACAATATAGGTCAGCAAAAAAGGGAAAGAAACAAAAATAAGTGAGACGTGTTAGAAACAGAATGGTATTTTAATGTTTCAAAAATAAGGTATCAAACTCTTTACTATATCTAACCTCTGTGTTTATGTATTTATTTTAACAGCATAGTTGTTGCCCAAATCTTTTGGTACAGAATGTTTTTGTAGAAACACGTGACAGGAATTTTCCATTGGTGGCGTTCTTCACCAACAGGTTTGAAATTTCTTTTATGTGATTTAATTTTGAGATTGTGAAAAATAACAATAGAAAAATATTTTTAAAAATATGTGTGATAAAAAAATGTGTGATAGTCCCTAATATCTGCTACCCTAGAATATTCATTTATCCCAAACTGTTCCTAGTCAATAAAATTTTAAACAGCTAAAATTTCAGTCCTTATTTCCTGTGAGAATTCCTGAAAGGACTAAGGATGGTAGTTCTGACCCAGTTCAGTTCAGGGAATAAATGATGTAGAATGCTACATCTCCTGTAAGTCACAATTGCCTCCAACTATCACACCACAGGCCTCATACCACAGATGTCATCACATCACTGGGTTCCACTGTTTGCAAAACACTTCCTTTCTCCTGGATATTGACAAGTTTCTTAGGATTTTGGTAGATTTGAAATAAAACTCAAATGATTATTCTTAATAAAAGAGCATTCCTAACTGGGGGGTGTTAGAATAAACCAGATTTTTGAAGATTTGTGGTGATGTTAATAAATTGATATCAAGTTTAGTTCATTTGGTAGTTACTCAGAGTAATTTATGTTTGCTTTTTAATTTCTACTTTCTAGGTATGTGAAAGCAAGAACAGAACTAACATGGGATTATGGGTATGAAGCTGGGACTATGCCTGAGAAAGAAATCCTCTGCCAATGTGGAGTTAATAAGTGTAGAAAGAAAATATTATAAATCTTTAGCTAATGCCTGTTGATGAGATTAGCTTATCACACTGCAATTAGAGCCATGCAGGAGAACCTTCAGTCATCAGTGGAATTAACTTGGGCTGTGATCCATCAGGAGAATTCTTCTCAGTTTACCCTTGTCAGGGAATTCATTTGTATGAATTAGAAATGCTAGGAACAAAATAAGGACATTTTCATATGCATAGGCTATCTCTTTATTCTTTCTGCTGTTCAACTTTACATAAGTGGGATGAAGTGTATATTTTATATGAAATACCATTATACAGTTTGTAACTTATTTGTAAATTATATATTAAGAGAAACAAATGTTACAATAGAATACAATTGTTCTTATTTACTTTTGTGATTATTATCTTTGAGTTCATGCCCCCAAAGGGCCAAATTTCACATCTTTACCTACAAAATTTATGCTTAATTCTTGGCAAATAATTTACCATCATGAGCCATAAGGTGGGCAACACAGCCTGAAGAATATGTAAGAACTAACTTTACGCATATTACTTCCAAGTATTTTAACACTAGTTGGAAAAGCTCTGGCTGCCTGCAACTCTGTCTCATCAAACCATTTGAGTGCTAAGAGGAAGAAGCTCTCCTATTGGGAGGGTTTTGGCAAACTCTTTGAGATGGAACTTCTTTTCCACAGATTCTCCTTACTACTCCAGTACAAACATAGACAAGAAAAGAGGGAAGAGAAACCCAGAGGAATTGGAATATTTTTGTTCTAGGTAGAGGAGAGCCATAAGAAAACTTAGAAACTAGTCAGACTTGGCTTATTTAGGCCTTCTGGAAGGGATTGTGCTGGGCAAGAATTTCACTTAGTAAAACAAAGCAATTCCACTGAGTTTGTAAAGTCTGGAACAGCTTCTTGGATTCTCCTGGGTATGATGTGCAGATTGTGTTTGGAGGAAAAGGGAGTAATACTCTGCTATAGGTTACCCAGCCCTGATCATGGAGTGGAAAAGGGACTAGGAATCTCCAGGTGTCAAAACTAATTTTATCCATAACAAAGTTGTACATTTGGCTGCCAGGAACTTCTCCCTTGGAACCAGAAGAAGAATACTAGCTCAAAAAGAAGTAATTAAAAAGTAGTTCTGGCTTTTGAGAAGTTTTATGTCTTTTTTCTTTCTTTTTTTCTATACTCGATTCTGGGTTTAGTTTGGTTACTGTTCAAATAAAACTGTATTCTAAGTTTGGACCCAATTTAATTGCTTAAAAATATTGAACTAGATGAAAATTTAACTTGAAATTGTTATAGAGAGTGGGAAACGGAAGAACTAGGAAAAGGAGCAAAAAGTTATAACCTAATAGCCTGTTAAGATGAGGAAAGTTAAGTCCATTTATTCGCAGTGAAGATGTAGGAATTTTAGGCAGTACACTGAAAGTGAAGATACTTGATAAGTATGGGAAATATTTTTGTACATAAATCCTGACATCTTGATCTGTTTCACAGCTGTCACTCACCCTCCATCAATGTCCTAGAGATTCCCTTTGTCTCTCTTATGTCAAATCTGTTTCCAGTTAAATTCCATTATTTCCCTTTTCCTTGGATTACTTCAACATATTGGTGAAGGACATCTTCCAGTTGTTTTTGAAAAGGAAAATTGAGAGGTAATTATTTTGAGACCTTGCATGTTTGAACATGTTATTTTACCCTTACACTTACTTGATTGCTATTTTTTCAGGGTATAGCAATTCTTGAGTAACCTCTATACACAATTTTGAAGGCTTCTGCTGGCTTCCAGTGCTGCGGCTATGAAATCTGAAAATGGTCTCCTTTCTGGCTTCCATGGTGACTACTAAAGTCAGATGTCATTCTGTTCCTTATCTTTTGTATATATGACCAGTTTTTATCTCTCATGAAGCTGACAGAATTATCTTTGTCCATTGTTCTATTTCTGGTAAGGTCCATTTTCATCCTTCATCCTGAGTGCTTGGTGGGCTCTTTCAATCTGAAATCTTTGTCCTTCAGTTCAGGGAAATTATCTTGAACCATTTCTTTAGTGATTTTTCATGTGTTCATTCTTTCTTTCTTTATAGAATTCTTGTTATTCAGATGTTAGACTTCCAGGATTGGCTCTCTAAATTTCTTTTCTCTTTTTTTTTTAGAGTTTTGATTTTTTTTTTCTAGTTTACTTATTTAAGTAATCTCTACACCTGATGTGGGGCTCAAACTTACAACCCTGAGATCAAAAGTTGCATGCTCTTCCAACTGAGCCAGCCACATGCCCCAAATTTTCTCTTTATTTTCAGCTATCTTTTTGCTGTACTTTTTGGGAGATTTTCTCAATTTAAATCTTCCAATATGTCAGTTGTGCTTTACTTTTTCTGGTCTCATATTCTTAATTTCTAGAACTCTCTTCTCTGGATTTCTTTTAACAGCATCCTGTTTTGGGTTCATGTTTGTAGTATCTTATCTCTTTGAAAATACCATGATGTGTACACACACATTCATATCTGTATTCTCCCTGCATATTTTGTGACTTTGAAGGTTTATTTCTTATTTGTTTTCCCCGTATGTATCCTTTGGTCCTTGTTTTTCTGTTACAGGCTTTCCTCAGTTTGTGATCTTGGCAGTCTACACATGAGTAGAACCCTATAAAAGGCTGAGATTGAAAGCTGAGAGTGGGAGATGGGTCTCTTCAAGTGCCACATCATAACTGAGCTGAGCTACCAGTCTCCTCTCTTTTAGTGCTTTGTTTGGCTGATTGAAGGGCAAAAACGTGGCTGCCAAAGTGTGTTTTTATTTCCCCTTTGAGCTCTATTCTTCTGTAATCCATTTCTATATTTGTCAAGACTATCCAAGCTATCTTTTTACATATTGTTTCTCTTTTCTGCTATCCCCACTTTGCCTCTCTTCCCTTTAAAACCTCAAAATGCAAAAAATAATAATGAAACCTCAAAATGCAACTTTTCCTTTAATTCCTCAGCAAACCACCAACTATTATATGCTTCTTTTCCAAAACTTTTTTTTATCTGTAATTATATACATTTGTGTTCTCTACATGTATATTTTGTTACATGCACTGAAAACCTCGTCTTGTATGGTGCTGTGTACCCCATGGGTGCCAAATAAAGATTTGCGACTCGCAACTGGAATTACAGTTGGTTAATTCTGCCTACGTTTATGACATACCTATTTAGGCCAAATTTGGTGTTATACAATTTTTAGAAGAAACGGGTAATCCCTCAGAAGAGCAATCACTTCTCCAGCTGATCCCAGGGGTCTGGGCCACCTTTCCTCCCCATCTGGAGAGGAAAAGTGGGGATCGCCTGCAAATTAAAAAAGAAAAAAATCAGACTCAGATCTGTAGAAGATGAGAGCTCCTGTTTGAATGAAAACTCCGCCTGCAAACCCTACGTGTCTCTTGCTCGGAACTTCCCCTAGGCAGGGGAAATCGGTCATCGTAGCTTTTACGAAAACGAAACTCTGCAGCTGCCCGTGAACTCCCGGAAGTGCAGGCGCTGCGCGCAGCCATTGAGCACCCGCTGAGGTTGCAGCCATGGACCAAGTGTCGTCTTCCATAGCCAAGTCAGTCCAGGGAGCCAACCAGTCCGAGACCCAGGACGCCCAGGACCAGCTCCTCCACCCCACCGGTGAGTACCGCCCGAGCGCATTGCGCGCGCGCGCGCGCACGCTGTGGCAGGGGTGCAGTGTCCCGGCAACCACAGGGCGGGTCCCCTGGCCTGCTCGCTGGCTGCTGTCCTCCACCCCCACCCTCCTCATGAGCCCCTGAGGCAGCGCTGGCGAGCGGGGTTAGTCTGCATTCACCTCCAGCGGCCCTGGGGGCAATTCCGCGGGGGCTTTGCGCCCAGACCGCTACCCAGAGCTTCACGTGCGATGGTGTGTCTTCCGCTTACCTCTCCCGCTGCTGATGGACCGCCTATTGCTACTGTCCTACACCACTGGGAATAGAGGCATCAAGGGAAGTCGACATCAACTCGCGTGGGTTTACTCTCTGCGTGCAGTCCACCCACTCCTAAAACTGTTGCCAGAGACATGGCATGGGAGAAGTAGGAAGGGAGGTGGACCCCTTCCTGAAAAGAAGGGGGTCTCAGGAAGCAGTTGGTGAAATTCTTGCAGGGAATGTGACTCTTAGGGAACCATCCACTCCTTTCCATTTAGTAGTTCAAATCCTCAATGGCCCTCTCTATGAATAAGGCAACAGTCTTGTGAGTCTGCACCTTCCCTTCACTCAAATAGGTGTAGAGCTCCCTACTGTGTGGCAGGCTCAGGACTAGATACTGGGGATACAGATTTGAGTTAGGAAGACCCCGCCTTAGAGAATTGAAAAGGCAGCTTGCATATGACCTGGTAAGAACCACAAAGGCTCAAATGAGGGGTTCCTAACTCAGCCTGGTGTTTAGGGAAAGCTTTATGGAGGCATAGATGCCCTAAGTTTTAAAGGACAAGAGTCAACCAGAGGTAGAAAGGGTGAAAGGGTGTTGGCATACAGAGGTGATGACACAAAAAGGCACCAGCCATGGGTGCCTGGGTGGCTCAGTCGTTAGGCGTCTGCCTTCGGCTCAGGTCATGATCCCAGGGTCCTGGGATCGAGTCCCACATCGGGCTCCCTGCTCCGCAGGAGGCCTGCTTCTCCCTCTCCCACTCCCCCTGCTTGTGTTCCTGCTCTCGCTGTCTCTATCTCTGTCAAATAAATAAATAAAATCTTTAAAAAAAAAAAAAAGCACCAGCCACGAAATGTCACTTGGCAACCACAAGTCAAGCAGTTGCATGTTTTTATTCAGCTAGTGTTATCTATAGAATGTTATTGGAGATGAAGTTCTATCCTGACCTTTTCCCCAAACTCCAGACTGGTATAACCAACTCCATAAATGCCTAGAATGATCTCAAACTGAATATGTCCCAAAGAGAATTCTCATTTCCCTGCATATACCCACATGTTCCAAACCTGTTCAACCACCAGCCTTCCCCCTTCCATTCATCCAGTTGCTCAGGCCAATACCTTTAGCACCGCCCTCAGGGCCTCTCTTTCTTCTTCACGTCCCATCTAATGCAGTCAGACCAGTCAGTTCTGTTTTTAGACTATATCTTGAGCTTGACCACTTCTCACCTGCACTACCATGCAAGCCCCAATGCACCATCATCTCCTGCTTAGAGTATTAGTCTGGCTCCTACTCTAACGTCTCATATAGACAAGGCTGCACAGCAGCCAAAATGATCTTTAAAAAAAACAAAAAGCAAATGTGATTCTCCTCAGCCCTTCAATAGTCTCACATTACCTTCAGAATAATCTCTTACTGTGGCCTACAGTGCACCCTGTGTCCTGATCTGATCCTTTCCCTGCCCATCTTGATGACTGTGCCACCCCTCACTGCCTTGTGGGTCAGCCAAGCCCCCAAACCTGTCCCTGCCTCGGGGTCTTTCCTTTTGCCTCCCATTTCTCACTTCCCCACCATAATTCAAGTCTCTCTCAAATGTATCCTCCACAGCTTTGCATGCCCATCCTATTTAAGAGAGTACCCCACCATCCTCTTCCTCCTTTCCCTGCTCTAATTTTTTTCATAGCACTTATTGCTAGCAGGAGAAATACTTGTCTGTTTTTACTACTAGAACGTAAGTTCCTTGAGAGGTGAAACTCTCATCTCATTCTCTGTTTTATTTGTAGTGCCTAAAACAGTGCATAATAGGTTCTTACTAAGAATTTGTTGAAGGAATGAATGGGCTGGTATGTACCACTCAGGAGCTTGGCTTCTATTCTCTTGGTGATGGAGAAGGTCTTTCACAGGAGGGAAACCAGCCCAATCTGAACTAAAATCTTCTATTCTGAATTCTGTATATCTGAGAGTTGGGCAGGTACATCCTATGGGACTGCCAGCTTTGCCTAGGGGAATGAAGTCCCACAGTACAAACACGTCTGCTGAGGACTGCCCCTGTGTGTGACTGTAAGTTAGGTAATTCTTTTTTTTTTTTTTTTTTTTTTTTTTTAAGTTAGGTAATTCTAAAGAAGTCCACTGAACGTCCTACTCTGTGGCTGTATCCACCACTCCTCTCCTGCAGCACACACATCCTTATTCCTGTTTGTACATTCTAAAGCTGTCCCCAGTAATGTTCTCTGGCTCTCCCAAATACATACTCACGTACTTCTCCCAAAGTTATATCCAGTCACAACATCCAGGGACAATCTGATGAAGCCATTTATTTTCTGAGTACATTACCAAACCTCTAGGTTATATCTACTACTCTTCTATTTTGGTCTTTATCCATTTCAGTGTGTAGTCACTGGACTCAGTGAAAGAATTGACTTCTCCCACTGACCTGATATCTAATGGAAGAACTAAAATAGTAAGCTGCAATAAAAATTAAGTTGAGCAAGAAAGAAAAGAGGAAGAAATTTCCAAGCCAGCATCATAAATTGATTGCCAGTCTAGAACATAAATCATACCCTAACAGAAGGGGATTGTAAATGGAATTATAGGATTAGTGACTCTCATTCCATCATCCACTCATTTAATGGTGAAATGTGTTTTTGGCTATCCTATCTGGCTACTCCAGATTCTGTCCTCTGACTGGATTGCCCTTGTCTCGTGGGCTTTAGGACCATATCTGGGAAGAGGAACATTTGGAAGATACGCCTGATAACCTCTGCAGGGGCTGTGGCCTTAGCAATCCCTTACCTGGTGGAGGTGGACCTGGAGAGACCCGAGATTCACTGTGTTGGTTGAGTTAGTCATAGTTCATGTGTTCCTGGGCTGTCATTTTTCTGCAGCTTCATTCTGTAGAACTTTTCCAGTTTCATTCTTTGAGAATTCTTGTTAGATCAGTCTCTGTGAGTCCTTAGGTCTGCTGGACACAGTAGAAGGACCATGGGGAGCCCTGCTGTTCTTCATTATTCTTGGTGTCAGCTGCTGATAGAGACCAATGGACTCTTCCCTAAAATGTTTCAGCCCCCATAATACACCTGTCCTTCACTGTCTGAATCTATACAGTTCCTGAATTCTGAAGGTGAGGAATATCATCCAAATGTATATGGTCCAGGAGTTTCAGATAATGAGTAGCAAGAGTTCAAATAAGTGGGGGATGTCTGTCTACGTAAAAGCCTCTAATGTGATTACCCCAACTGCAGAGAGTTCTGTGCATCCTCCTGTCTGGAAGAATGAATAAGTTAGAAGAGCCAAGATCTTTTAGGAAACTATGATGAGGAGATGTTTTACCAAGGAAAAGCCATTAGGGGGAGCCTGTGTGTCTCACTTTGGGTTTCTGTCCATCAGCAGGGGAAAAAATACTCTAGGTCAGAAGGCAGCAGTGTTTCTACCACCACCTTATTCCCAGGTGCCAAAACCCTAGAAGCCTGTGGACTTGGGAGTGCAACTCAGAAGGGCAGAGTCCCCAGAACAAACACAGGGGGCCATACTCAGGTATCTGCAGCCTGACAGCTCAGCCAGATAGAGTATGCCTGTCTGAACACCCTGCTTTGCACAAGGAAAGGGTAACACTGTGCAAAAATGTCTAGCTCTTATACAACAGGAAGCATTGCATGCCTATCAAATGTAATCATTTTATTAGGGATTTTTATTCCATCCTCTTGTGCTTTTTTTTTTTTTTTTTTTTGCCTATGCTTTACAAATTTTCATGTCCAGTTTGTGTGTTCTTTAAAATAAGAATACAGGGCGCCTGGGTGGCTCAGTTGGTTAAGCGACTGCCTTCAGCTCAGGTCATGATCCTGGAGTCCCGGGATCGAGTCCCGCATCGCGCTCCCTGCTCAGCAGGGAGTCTGCTTCTCCCTCTGACCTTCTTCCCTCTCATGCTCTCTCTCTACCATTCTCTCTCTCTCTCTCTCAATAAATAAATAATCTTTATTAAAAAATAATTAAGAATACAGTATTTTATCAAAATAGATTTTGGGCCTGAGGTGAATAAAATATTGGGATTTTTTTTCCCGATTTTCATCTAGGATGGGATATTATGTTGTCAAATATTAATATATTAAAGCACTGAAAATTATAAAGTGTGGTATTGGAGGAGGAAGTGATCAATGGAACAAAATAGATGTACAAAAACAAACCAAACATATGTAATAATTAAGTATATGAAAAGGAGATTTAAATCTGTGGCTAACCACTATGAGAATAAGTTAGATCCTCATCACATACTTTATAATAAATTTCACATTAATATTTAATATAAAAAATAACATTTTAGAAGAAAATAGAGGTGTTTTCTAAGTTATGTCTCCTTCACCCAAGAGTAGAAACCATAAAATAAAAGATTGATATTTCATGAAACATTTAAACATTCTTTATATCATAGAACATTATAAATAAAGTTGAAAGACCTCTATATAACTAACGAAGGGTCATCCTGAATACATAACAAGCTCATAAATCGATAAGAAAATAGTGAATAACCTAATAGAAAATGGGCTGAGGACATTAGTGCTAGAGAAGAAATGCAAATGCCACCTTATGGTATGTTAAATTCATAATTATAGATTATGTTCTACTTCTCTCTGCACTTTGTTGTCCTTTCTTTTGATGTAGTCATCTACTGTCCTAGTTTTATCTTTATAATATGGTTTTAAATCACGTAGGCAGATACCCAGGTATATTTTTTTCAAAGTTTTCTTCACAGTCCATACCCATTTATTCCTCCAAATAATCTCTTTTTTACCCCCAAGTTCTTTAACCTTCTTGGGATTTAAATTGAAATGATATTAAACCTAAAACTTGTTTGGGGAAGAACTGACAGTATTATAATGTTCAGTCTTCCTACTCAGGAGCATAGTATTTCTCTCCATGTATTGAAATCGAGCTTGAAACAACTCTTTTCTTTCCCCCACAATTTGAATTATTTATTTAGACCAAGAAAAGCATATGCATTGATTGTCTCTTTGTTTGACAGCTTTGTAATATCCTTTTTTACTCCATGCTGTGTTTTTGTTTTTCATTTTTTATTGAAGTTTAGTTGATTAAAACAACTCTTTCATCATGTTATTCCCCTGCTCCAAAATCCTTCCTGACAGTCTTTCACCATCTGTTTCTCAAATTCTTTTCCTGCTTCCTCTGCACAGACTCTCCCCTTCAGCCTGGCTGGTTTTCTGCCTCCTAGTCAAACCTCTTGGCCTTTTCCCACATTGCTGCTTATGTCTGCAGTCCCTCCCAACCCCCCTCCCCTTTCTCTCTGTCTCCAGGTTGTAGCAGCTCAAGGCCCACCTCCTTGACAACACTCCATCCCACAGGGAGCACTTCCTCCCGTGGATCCATAGCATGTATGGTATTTTCCACCCAGCAGTTGTTACTTTATGGCATTTATTCTGTTATTTTATTTTGTTAGCTTCTTGTAGGCAACAGTTCTGTCTCCTGTTTCTTTAGATCCTCTGCTGTGCTGTTCCCTACGGTAGCCACTCCCTACACATGGCTGTGGAGCACTTAAAAATGTGGTTTATTTCATAAGGAATTGCATGGAGGACATTAGGAGAAGGAAGGGAAAAATGAAGGGGGGGTAATCAGAGGGGTAGACGAACCATGAGAGACTACGGACTCTGAGAAACAAACTGAGGGTTCTGGGGAGGGGGGAATGGGCTAGCCGGTGATGGGTATTAAGGAGGGCACGTATTGCATGGAGCACTGGGTGTTATATGCAAACAATGAATCATGGAACACTACATCAAAAACTAATGATGTACTGTATGGTGACTAACAAAATAAAATGTGGTTTATTCAGTTAAGACACACTATAGGTGCAAAGTGCAGTGGGTTTCAAAGACTCTGTACTGAAGAATGAATTAATTTTTATGTTGATTAAATGGTGAAAGCATCATATTGTGGATATATTTGGTTGAATAAAGCATGTTATTAAAATTAATTTCACCTGTTTCTTTTTGCTTTTTTTCATGAGGCCCCTAGAAATTTTTCAGCTGTGGCTCACATTTGTGGCTCGCATTACAGTTTCCATTGGACAGCACTGGTCTAGAGTGCCCAGCAAAATTACTCTCCTACAAGAGGTGCTCCCAAATTGGTGCTGCTTTGAAATGAATGAAAAGAAGCAGCTGGCCTGTCTCATTCATCTGAGGGTTTTTCTCTCGGTCTCCCCTTTTTCGTGGTTGGTGGGGAGCAGAGAGACTACAAATTTGTATCCTTACTAGGTAGGACACAAATCCAGGAATCAGAAATTAATTTCTAAATGTGAGATAAATGCTGCTCCAAAGTGCAGTCTTCTGATTTTGTGCAATACAGGATCTAATTTCAGAGACACCAAGAGATCTTATACTTTTAGATAACAAAAAGAACTTTTAGGAACCCTTTAAGTGGTTGAGCTCATCTAAATGTAAAACTCTCACCATTAAATGGTAAAATATATCTTTGCTTCAAAACTAAAAGTTGAAGATTAAAAGCAGAATTGTGTTCTACAGAAAACCCAATCAATAAGAGGATAAGCATTGGAAAGGGCAAACAAGTTGTTAAATGGATGCTTATGGCTAAATTAATAGCAAACTAGTAAGTTAGAGAAGGTTACCCCTCACTGACATGCCCAGTGGGGTTGTGGGAACAGATGGCTTCTTTTTCCGTCTCTTTCCTTTTCTTCCTAGCTCTCCTTCTCTTAGGTTCCTCTCCTTTCTTCTATTCATTTCTTAAAAAAAAAAAAAAAAAAGAAAATTGATTTCCTGCCTTTATGTATCTTTCTCTCCTAACTTACAATGCTAAAGTGCATTTAAATTAAAGCACCTTGCTCATTTACTTCTTTAATTCACTCAAAATTTATTTTTGAATATAGTATGACATAGGGATCTAAAACTTTTTTTTACAGTTAACCAGAGCACTATTTCTTGAGCACATCATTGTTTTCTTGTTGATTTGTATTGACAATAATTATTGAGAGCTTAGTATTGCCAAGGCAGTGTTTTGAGAGCTTTGTATTTAAATTCCTGGTTGTGTTTCCTTCCCTTTTTTTTAAGTTTATTTATTTAAGTAATCTCTACACCCAACATGGGGTTCAAACTCAGGACCCCCAGATCAAGAGTCTCATGCTCTTCTGACTGAACCAGCCAGGTGCCCCCTGGTTGTGTTTCTTGAATAAAGTTCTCCTTATGTTTAAACATTTTAAATAAATTCATTAATTCTTGTCCTTCCTTGTATTGAACCATTTAAGAAATACACAGTAAGTTGCCTTTCCACTTGGGTACCAATTTTTTTTCCTCTCTGGGAGTTGAGAATCTCTCATAAGAACAAGTGCCCTGCCTTCTACTTTAAGACTGGTGGAGGAGTTACGGAGACCAAGAAGTTCCACTTTACCATTTCTCATAAGGGATGTTACTTATAGGTGTCTTTCAGGTTGCAGAAAAGATGGAAAAAAGGACATGTGCACTCTGCCCCAAAGACATCGAGTATAGTGTCCTATACTTTGCAAAATCAGAGAATATAGCTGCTCATGAAAATTGTTTGGTAAGTTACTTGAAAACACCTGAGTCCTTTTAGGGAAGGACATACCAAAATAGGTAAATGTACTTTGGAGACAGAATGACGAGTTGGCCATGATTTGGGCTTCTAAGTGGGGATATGGGGAGCATATTTTTCTAACTTTTTAAACTGTTTCAGATCTTATGATTACATTTTAGCTTTATTTATAACTGATCAAATACAATTATGATGAAGCTTCTTTGAAGATATTTTATTGAGATATTTCAAATATAACCAATACCCATAGACATTGCACCCAGATTGTAGAATCATACTATATTTGGTTTACTTTGATTTTCTTTTTTAAAGGAAATAAAACACAGATAGTTAAGGGCTAATTCTCTCTGTTCCCCTCCCACCATCCCTTGAGATATAATTGCCCTCACGGATTTGGTGTTTTTTATTATCTTGTGTTTTTGATTTTATGTTCCTATTGTGTATATTTAAGTGCTTATAACAAGATATATTGTTTTACATGTTCTTGGACTTTGTAGCATTTCAGTCAAATTCTGTGGCTATTGAGATTTATCCATGTGATAAATTTAACTCTTAACTCCTTAATTTTAAATGTTATAGAATTCCATTTTGTTATAGAATTCCATTCCATTTTGTGACCATCACTACTAAACTATTCTGGTGTGAATGAACTCTTAGGTTTTTCCACTTCTTTTCATGTAACTAACCAGCTGTCATGAACAACTTTGTATAGGTCTCCTAATTCATGGGAGGATTTCTCTGATGTAGGGCACAGAGGGAGCGTTTTGCACCTCACTGTATGTGCCACATTGCTCTCCAAAAGGATTGCACCAAGTTTGACTTTCACATTGTTTCAGAATTCGTTCCTCTTTTTCCTTGCCACACGTGCTATTATGAAATTTTAATTTTTTCCTCTCCGATGGATGTAAAATGGTGTCTTGTTTGCATTCCTAGATTATTAGTGCGATTGTGCCTCATTTGGCTGTGTTTATGCACAGTTCTGTTTCTCGCTTCTGTGACTTGTGTTCATCGACTGCATTTTGTCTTTAAGATATTGATTTTCCTTACATGTATTTATATATGTATATAAATAGATTCTATGCTTTATTATATATGTTGGCTTTTAACTTGTGGTGTTTCCTGTCAGAGGTTTATAATGTAGTTAAATTCATCGTTATTTTCCTTTATAATTTGTAGGATTTTTCCCCTAAGAAGTTCTTTCCTTTACTAAGGTTCTTTTTCCCCCCAAATTTTAAAACTTGGCTTTTCTCATTTAGTTTCTTAATCCAACCGGAATTTATTTGGACTACTCTGTAAAGTAGGCATCTTTTTTTTTATATGATTAACCACTTTTCCCAGCATTATTTATTGACTAATCTGTTCTTTTCTCATTGATTTGTAGTGATAATGATGACTATAATTATTATTCAGTATTCACCAGGTGTAAGGTATTATTCTGGGAACTTAAGCTGTATTAAACTATTAATCCTTACAACAACCCTAAAAGGTAGGTATCATTCTTATGCCCAAACTAAAGATGAAACAACAGGTACAGAGAAGTTAAGTCACTTGCCCAAGGTCACACAGCTGCAAGTGCCTGAGCCAGGATTCTTACCCAAGCTGCCTACTTCTAGAACCCTCACTCTTAATCCAGTGTGCTAACAATATAATATTTGTGCACAGACTGTTTCTGGCTCTATTCTGTTCCATTGGTCACTTTGTCTCTCACTGAGCTGGTACAACATTGTCTTAATTACTATGATTTTATGATAAGCCATGGCTATTTTTCGGTGCTTTGAATTTTGGGATCAGCTTACAAGGTTTTATACAAATTCCTATTGGAATTTTAACTGGAATTCCATTAATTTATAGATGAATTTGGGAAAAAATGATATGAGTATTTCTGCCCATTAACAGAGTCTGTCTTCAGTGATTCATGTCTTCTTTTATGAATTTCAGAAATGTTCAATAATTTTTTTCCTGTAGAGGGGTAAAACTTTGGGTTAAGCTATTTCCTGGGTCTTTTTTTTTTTTTTCATTACCTTTTCCTAATACCTTAAAAAAATAACTGAAGTATAAAAAAAATTGAAGTATAGTTGACACACAATGTTACATGTTTCAGGTGTAAACATAGTAATTCTACTCTATACATCATGCTGTGCTCACTGTCTGTCTCCATGTAGTGCTGTTTCAGTACCATTGGCTATATTCCCTATGATGTGCCTTTCATCCCTGTGACTTACTCATTCCATGACTGGAAGCCTATACCCCCCCATTTCCCTTCACTCTTTTTGCCCATGCCCTCCCACCCTCCTCTCTGACAACCACCAGTTTATTTTCTGTTTCTGGGTCTGTTTCTGCCTTTTTTTTGTTTGTTCATTTATTTTTAGTTTCCATATATAAGTGAAATCATATGGTATTTGTCTTTCTCTGACATTTCACATAGAGTGATACTCTCCAGGCCCCTCCATGTTGTAGCAAATGGCAAGATATCATTCTTTTTTATGACTGAGTAATATTCCTGTGTGTGTGTGTGTGTGTGTGTGCGCACACATCTTTTTTTTTTAAGAATTTATTTTTTATTTTATTTTTTTAAGATTTTATTTATTTATTTGAGAGAGAGAGAGAATGAGAGACAAAGAGCATGAGAGGGAAGAGGGTCAGAGGGCGAAGCAGACTCCCTGCTGAGCAGGGAGCCCGATGCGGGACTCGATCCCGGGACTCCAGGATCATGACCTGAGCCGAAGGCAGTCGCTTAACCAACTGAGCCACCCAGGCGCCCACACCACATCTTCTTTATCCATTCATCTACCCATGGATGCTTAGGTTGCTTCCATATCTTGGCTCTTATAAATAATGCTGCAATAAACATAGGGGTGAGCATATTTTTTGAATCAGTGTTTTCATTTTTGGGGGGTAAGTACCCAGTAGTGGAATTACTAGATCCTATGGTATTTCTCTTTTTAGTTGTTTAAGGAAACTTCATACTGTTTTCCATAGTGGCTCCGTAATTTACATTCCCACCAACAGTACACGAGAGTTCCTTTTTCTCCACATCCTCACCAACACTTATTTCTTGTCTTTTGGACACTAGCCATTCTCACAAGTGTAAGGTGATGTCTCATTGTGGTTATTATTTTTTTTTTTTTTAAGATTTTATTTATTTGACAGAGACACAGCGAGAGAGGGGGGGTGGGAGAGGGAGAAGCAGGCTTCCCACTGAGCAGGGAGCCTGATGCGGGCCTCCATCCCAGGACACTGAGATCATGACCTGAGCCGAAGGCAGATGCTTAATGACTGAGCCACCCA